TAGATGTAAAATGATCTTAAATTATTATTCTCGGCAAGAGTGATCACGATATAATTTCTTTTTACAAAATCAATACATTCTGAAGTAAACAATTGATGAGAATGAATCAAAATCATCAACCAGATATTAAAAAAATCAACCAGATATTTATGGTGGTTCTACCATAGCCTGATTCTCAGACAGTCCGAGTCGCTCATCCTCACTCTCAGAATTTACGTAAAAAGACAACTCAAATGTGATGGCAATCAGAACTGAAGATTTTAAAAAAAGATTCGAGTTTAAGTATATGCGTTAAGCGATATTAAAGCAACCACGAAACGAGATGGTAGCTTATATATGCGATTTGGTACACAGTCTTTTCGCGTAGTAAGACTTCAATATTTTGGCTGTAAGAACATCAACACTGATTACTTCTTCAAAGGTTTTTTAAAGTTCAATTTTGAGTTCATCGAAAAAAGGCAACGTAATTTGTTTATGTTTATTAAATAATTTGAACCAACCTTCCTCAGTCCTTTCGTGTGGTGATCGGTGATTTTGAAATGTTTCTCGGAGTGATATGAAGTTTCTTCACCCTTTCGATTACAAAACTTGTCTTTCACAGAAAAGGGATAAAAAATTAAAGACTTACTTTTAAATATTGCGTTAGTGTTATACGTTCAGTACTGTGCGGTTAGCCTCGAAAAGAATATCTTCAGACACGCGATATCGCCAAATTATCTTTTTTCAATGACATCTTATGACGTCAAAGGTGAGCTGTTGTGACGTCAGCTCGCAAGATGCACAGAGATACCATGTTGAGTCCACGGTCCACGGTCAAGCTGCACAGCGGAACCGCATTAAGTGCAATGGCAAAATGCACACAGGGAAACCACGTGACGTCCACTCACTCGGAGCATAGTTACTGAGAGTTAGTATTTCGATCTTGGCACTGTAAGCGTCAACCTCGTTCCCAGGGTCTCTCTTCTATCTCCTGCGATAGATCATTTTATACAGTGAAGCTCAGCACTCCCTAAAATTTTCGAGCTTTTGAAAGTTAAGCAGAAACTAAACGCACCTATTTATAAATTTCGGTGAAATTAACAAAAACTATGTTATTTTAATAATATCTGGATTATATGAAATAAAATAAATTAGAATATATAAACAGAGCTGACAATGTTTTCAGGCTTGGATGTGATTTGAGCTTTTAATGACGAATTTATCCAATGCAGAAGTCTCCTATTTTCTTCTTGCGAAAGAAGGTTACCTCATTGGTTTTTTTTCACCTTAGTAAGCTATCATTTTGAGGTTTTCTTTCGGATGTTTGTAATTTACTTGACGCAAAAATAAAGACTTTACATCGAGACAACATGCATGTAGCTCTTTAAGATAAATGTGAACAATGGTAAATCAATAGTTTATGGAAATGAATATGAAGCTCAACGAAGTTCTTTGTTCCATATGTTTTTGTTAGCTTTTTTGACCTTGACCGTGCACAAAATACAATAGGTTTTGAGTTGTGTCCGAGTAACTCACCAATTGCAATAGAAACGTGTTGGCTACGTAATTCAACCATAGTGGCGTGTGGGCGCAAAACAAAAGGTTGTGCACGGTTGTGGACCTTCCAACATAAATCTTGGCATCTTTGTTTTGCTCCTTTGAAGTTTGCCGGGCTTCATAACCATTTCCCGGGTAAATTCACGCAGCGCTTAATTGTGACCTCTTTATATCCAAAGTTTAAAAACATACCTCTTTTCAAAGAACTGGAAATGTCCAAGCTAGTAATGTAAAATTTTTGGAGGTGAAACCAGTTCTCTTGTTTGTGATTAAAAATGAACTAAAATCTGAATTAGCAACCTTCCTTTTAAGTATAATGTCAACATGCACCTTTCTCCTATAATTTGTATAAAGTCTTAAAGGATTAATTCACTATATCTCCGTAACCCTTTCACTCCCAGAGTCAAACCTTGAGTCAATAAATGTGGCTGTACCTTTTGAGTCTGTGGAAGAAACCCTAGTGTGTGACCATTCAAATGAAAGCTATTGAGCAGTACTTAGGTGTGTGTACTGTTTACTTTCGACAATTTTGCAAAATGAAATTGAAGAATTTCCCTCAGCTTTGAACTTAGCACTCTTGGGAGTGAAAGGGTTAATGCAGCTCTGTTCCTATAAGCTTCGATTCATAAACATGTATGTTGAACTTCAATCATGTTTTGAAGCTCAAATAAGATGAAATTACATGTTTATCACTGTTGCAAATTTTGTCTGAGGAAATAAATATTATTTTGAGTGGAAAAAATAATTTTATCGAATGTTTCTTTCATGAATCGAAAAAATATTACATTTTTCTATTCCTAACCAAAAAGAGATTTTTATTGGGAAAAATCAATTTAAAATTGAAGTTATCGCTGAAGGCGCCGCCAGCACACAAGATTTTTGTGAAATAAATGATTTTAATCCGATTCCGCTGGCGATTTCTTTTAAATGGTACATTACAACATTTTAATCATCCTAAAATTGAACACAATAAACGAATAATATCCTGTGGCCTTTACCGAAACTAAAATTAATTTATTAATGGGAACTTATTTTTGCTTTATTATATTTATATTTTGGTATTTTAATAACAGATAGAAATTTTCAAGTGAACCGCTTTCTGAAATAAAAGTTCATTGATCAGATTTTTTAGTGAGTGTTGTTTACATTAATCAGAAAACTGCGTGAACATTTTGATTTAAGCTTGGATTTTCCTTTGCCAAAAATTGGTCTATTTTTTCCTGTATTTATTTTATTGCTATTTTCGCAGTGTAAATTTGAGAGTTTCCTGACTATTCTTCTTGCGGTTTGATTATATCAATTCAAAGTGTTCACGCTTTATTCGCACAGTAAAATTGGAGGAAGAAAATAATTTATTCAAGTGAATTTGAGAGTCCACGTTGATTTTATCGTAAGCACACTACGTCAGACAGTCATTCTGAATTTTCAAGTTGTGTGTGTGTGTGTGATAAATCGGACAACATACAATTGAATCTGTCAGTTTATAATGTCTAATTTTCGAGCACTTCTGCAAAGATTAATTTCAGAGATACAGAGAAAATGACTATGACAATACGAGCTTTATTGAAACTTCAATGAAGCGCTTACAGATTTCAATTTCATTGATTTGAATTTTTTTCTAATTTTAGTGACCAAAACTAGAATATGGTATATACTGAAAACCGCACAATATAAATTTCAAACGATAAGAAATGACGTATTTAGTTTGTACAGTCGAACGGCTCTCTGAGCGGACACTCTCGTAAGCAGACAGCTCTACTTACGGCCGCCTTGACAAAACCCCATTTGGACTCTAGCTCATACACTGGCTCTGTATTTTAATACATATTCCCGTAAGCGGCCAGCTCCAGTTGCGGACACTTTTTCTGCTTCCCGAGGTTGTCCGCTTATAGGAGCTTCGAGTTTGATGCATCAGATAAGTTATTGAAAAACTACTTACGCACGTCGCACTATTTACACATATATTTTAAAGATTTTATGTAAACATCGGAGAAAAGAAAGGCTCGAAAAACAAAACAATCTGGCTTCAATGTGTTGGTGTTACACTTGAACTTCTATTTGAATTGTCCTCAGTGTTTTGAAAGATTTTTCAGAATATTTATTCTTCAATTTCTGTGATTTCCCTGAACTCTCTTTTATAACATTTTTTCTGGACTAAAGTATGAATGATCCTGGTGTTCAGCTGACATGTTTTTCTAATAGTCTTGGTTTTTTTTATCGTTTGAAGGCAGAGAAACATACAAATTGTTAGGATAAAGCATGAATTTAAATCCTGAAATCTTACGGAAATGCAGGTGTATACCGTAATTCATCGCGAGAATAATTATTTTTCCTTCATTTGAGTAACTTTAAACGGTATTTAAGCGATACAACGAGGTTTTATTTAGAAACTGATTTTTTTCTTTATAAACACCTAAAATTACCGTGAATTGAAGCGCTGAAATTATCATACCAGTCAGTCTTTTAAAATAAAGTATTCAACACATCATACTATTCAACTAATCATACCTCAGTTTCACTGCCGTGAAAAAAAATCGAAATAAATCTCTCCGCACTCATATCCACTATAAAACAACTGACTGGCCCGGGAATTCTTGTCAAGACGTATATACAACTGGCGTTCAGTCTTGTTTCGTCGCGGAGCTGTTGTTTTGTCTTCTCTCGTCTCTTTTAGAGTGCCGACCATAATAATTTCAAAATTATATTCTTTATTCGCCTTAATAATACAGGTGTTTGGGTCCGTTAATGAATCCAACCAATAGACTAGAATCCGCCGTATCCTGGAGATATTGCGTCGGCAACGCTTTCAATATTATCACAAGCACTATCAAATTAAAAACGCTCAACTTTGAATGTTTGTCGAACAGATTTTAATCATGGAAGGATCACGTTTTTCGTTTATACACCTAATTGCAATAACGTTGTCATAGAAAAATGAAAAATGAAAAAAGCAAATAGGAATTAATTAGGCATACAAACTACATTCATGTCGAAGAAACGGCCTCAAAATACAAGTAAGTTTTCAATTTATCTTAATTACACGATTAATATACAGCTATAAACGTGTGAGTTCTCTGAGAATGCTGCAAGCTTTGATGATTAACCTAACCAGGAGCCCATGGCTAATGGGCCCCTGACCTAACTAATTCCTATTTGGCTTTTTTCATTTTTCTTTTTTATATGACGTTATTGCAATTAGGTGTATATATATTTAAAACCTTAGATTCACCTGTCATGTAACGGGTTTGATTTCAATAGTGAAATTCCCTCTGTTTCAAGGTGTCGAAAGTGTCAAGGAGCTCGCCAAGAACGGAACCAAGATAAAAAAAAGTATTTTATTCTTATCGAAATAATCTATGTAGTATTTGTTTTTGTCGCGACCTACAGGCATGATTTCAAGTTCAGTCCAATTCACATAATGTTTGTTCTTATTAAAGACACTCAATCAAAAACCGCTTTATTCCAAAACAACGGGATTTGAACTCATGACCTTCGTGTTAACAGTGCGATGCTCTATCAATTGAGCTATGAAGCTCAAGCCACTTATTGGGAGCAAGGTTAATTGTGAGGTCATATGTTCCCGTGTAAGAAATTAAAAAGAATGTCATTCAAAATGGCGGAGTCTCCATATCATTATAATTACAACACTTTTACAAAATCCAAGCAAACTTAACTTCAGAGCCTTTTAAAGATGATTTACAGTCCGTACTGCGCAATCTCCGCCTGCTATGTTTATGAGTCGCATACGAAGGAATGTAAATACTAGCGAAAATAGAAATTGTTGTACAAACTTACATTTTTCTTCATTATTAACGCCAGATATCCTTGCTAAACAATAATAACGAGTAGAAGAACCTCGGCGTTATCCCAAACCGACGTTTCAGCTCATCGAGCATTCAGGAACTCAACGACACGTAATGGCGGACTCAAAAACTTCATAACAACTTCATGTACGCTATCACCAAAGTGTAACGTATCAACAAATTTCAAAACCAAAAAGTAAACAAACCCTGAGCATGCGCAGTACGGACTGGAAATCATCTTTAAGGTGTGGCTTTTTTTGTAACCCGTAGAACATTTGATTCTTGGTTAATTAATTCATGACAACGTTCAAGCCTAAGCTACAAGTGGATTTTAAGTATCTTTTATTATATCCTCCTGCTACAGGTACAATCACGCTGAAAATCTTACACACTTTCACCTCCAATACAGCTATTACAAAAATCATCCTGATCTATACAGTAATAAATAAAAGAACAAGAATCTCAACCTTAAATAGTTGTATAGCTAATTGGGGACACTGAACCCCCGGGGGGGGGGACTTCGATATAAAAGTGACGGGGGTGCTCGTCGTACCTTTTAGGGGTTAAAATTCATGATTTGGTACCGCTTAGGGTGTAAAATCTAAATTGATTACCCTTAGAGTTAACGCGGTACCTTTTAGGGTTGCTGAGCCGGAAAAAATATGACAGGAACTATTTTGTTTACGAGTAGATCGTATTCGAAGGAATCGTCTTTATCACTATTAAAGAATGTTATATTGTCAGTTAATGTGTTGTTTTAGAATTGGTACCTCTTAGGGGTGAAAATGAATTGGGGCCACGCCCACAAAAAAAATTTTGGTTCCTTTTAGGGGTTCTTTTCAAAATTTCCGACGAGCACCCCCGACCCCTTTTATATGGGAGTCCCCCCCCCCCCCCCCGGGCACTGAACATTCAAATAATAGTAATAAAACTATCCTACAGTAATAGAAATGATAAATCTAGATATATATATATATATATATAGTATGTGTGGAGTGGAGCAAACAGCGAACTTCTTACCATGTCAAAACTTTAATGCAAACGTTTCGCCCGTTCGGGCTTCTTCAGTACATATAACGGATTAAAAATACTTGGAATAAAAATGTTTTTAAAAATTGGGTCTTATATAAGCGAGAATACAATTCAAACAAATATTAAAAATTACAAACAATAAAATTATTAATTACTGGTGAATAAAAATGAATGGCCTAGAGAAAGTGCTAATTAAAAGGTACCGGACCACTAGAGTATTACGCAATTACAAGGAAAATTACAATGGAAATAAATAAACAATATAGTTCGTAACAAATTCTTAACTCAAAGTCCTTGAACTAAAGCGTTTTCTAGTGTACAATATTACTCCAGGGTAACAGGATCCGAATAAAAAGCCTTTGAATGATTGATAACAAAAATCCTAAAATTAAGCCCCTGAACTCCGGTATTGTATGCGGCTATACTCTCAGCCTTGTAACAAATTCCTTGATAAAGCCCTTGAACGATTATACAATTATATTCTTTGAATTTAACCATGATTACGTAAGAAGAACACCTGTGGGTCAGTAGAAACAAAAGTATTCGAAAAAACTAAACGGCAATTTGTGGTATTAATTATATCTTATTCTATTCTTGGAGTTGAACTCAGATCTTTTATTCAAACCGTAAGGTTGAAGGGTGCAAAGTTGTGCACTCCAATAAGCTTCTCTTGTTAACAAGCGATGATCGAGGCTATTATTGTCACTGAAATTGAAAACTTGTTCAATGATAGCGAAATCAAAATCAGACAAAACATGAGTTTCTTTGTTAAAATGTATCGCGACCTCACAAGTGTTTTTCTTTGTACTCATAGCCGATTTGTGGTTGCGAAATCTGACTTTAAATTCGTTGCTTGTGGATCCTATATATTGAACATTACATTTATTACAAGTGACTAGGTAAATCACGTTCTTAGATTTGCAATGGAGATGTTGTGTGATGGGATAGATTCTGTTGGTGCTAGCGCTAGTGAAGTGATCGGATTCTACTAAAAAATTACGACAGAGATCACATTTCCCTTTGCATTTAAAACAACCTTGTACATCTGTGTTATTGTAATTAGTGCGACGAGGGCGTGCTAGAATATCTTTAATGTTTTTGGTTCTTCTGAATGATGGAATGATGGATCCCTTGGGGAATATTTTGGCTAGAGATGGTGGTGGGGGCAAGCAAATTTTCCCTAGGAATTGATTTGACTCTGTCAAATTGTTGCTTAACTTGGGAGTGGTTGTAGCCTCTATTAATTAAATAACTTTGATATTCTACACTACGTTTTTCAAAAGATTTTACCTAGCATCGGAAAAATTTTTAATTCGTATAAACATCTCATTCACAATTCACCCTCTCTAGCCAAAATATTCCCCAAGGGATCCATCATTCCATCATTCAGAAGAACCAAAAACATTAAAGATATTCTAGCACGCCCTCGTCGCACTAATTACAATAACACAGATGTACAAGGTTGTTTTAAATGCAAAGGGAAATGTGATCTCTGTCGTAATTTTTTAGTAGAATCCGATCACTTCACTAGCGCTAGCACCAACAGAATCTATCCCATCACACAACATCTCCATTGCAAATCTAAGAACGTGATTTACCTAGTCACTTGTAATAAATGTAATGTTCAATATATAGGATCCACAAGCAACGAATTTAAAGTCAGATTTCGCAACCACAAATCGGCTATGAGTACAAAGAAAAACACTTGTGAGGTCGCGATACATTTTAACAAAGAAACTCATGTTTTGTCTGATTTTGATTTCGCTATCATTGAACAAGTTTTCAATTTCAGTGACAATAATAGCCTCGATCATCGCTTGTTAACAAGAGAAGCTTATTGGAGTGCACAACTTTGCACCCTTCAACCTTACGGTTTGAATAAAAGATCTGAGTTCAACTCCAAGAATAGAATAAGATATAATTAATACCACAAATTGCCGTTTAGTTTTTTCGAATACTTTTGTTTCTACTGACCCACAGGTGTTCTTCTTACGTAATCATGGTTAAATTCAAAGAATATAATTGTATAATCGTTCAAGGGCTTTATCAAGGAATTTGTTACAAGGCTGAGAGTATAGCCGCATACAATACCGGAGTTCAGGGGCTTAATTTTAGGATTTTGTTATCAATCATTCAAAGGCTTTTTATTCGGATCCTGTTACCCTGGAGTAATATTGTACACTAGAAAACGCTTTAGTTCAAGGACTTTGAGTTAAGAATTTGTTACGAACTATATTGTTTATTTATTTCCATTGTAATTTTCCTTGTAATTGCGTAATACTCTAGTGGTCCGGTACCTTTTAATTAGCACTTTCTCTAGGCCATTCATTTTTATTCACCAGTAATTAATAATTTTATTGTTTGTAATTTTTAATATTTGTTTGAATTGTATTCTCGCTTATATAAGACCCAATTTTTAAAAACATTTTTATTCCAAGTATTTTTAATCCGTTATATGTACTGAAGAAGCCCGAACGGGCGAAACGTTTGCATTAAAGTTTTGACATGGTAAGAAGTTCGCTGTTTGCTCCACTCCACACATACTAAAAATATTTGAGTGCAAGCGTGTAGTATCCATTGGATCCTTCTTCCAAGTGGCATCATTGTTGGAAAGCCAATCTTCACACAAATATATATATATATATATATATATATATATATATATATATATATATATATATATATATATATATATATATATACATTAAAAACCTACTTTCCGGACTGCCAATTGCGGCTAAGCAGGCTAGTGGAAAGCCTGCACACATCCTCAATCAAAGCTAACCCATCACCCACGCCGACAAACCTCATCATTATACCATGTTTTAAACACGTCTAACTTTTTTGGTAAACGTCCAAAAAAAATGGTAAATCAACAGAATGCTGGAAATATACTGAACTTTGTGTTTGAAAAGTCTAAACTTCTCCTTTTACCTACTTTTGTTTCCTTTCACAAATTACTATCAAGGTTTTGATTTCGGGTAGTTGCAATGCTTTTTCTTCAAAATTTTGCGCGGGAAATTAGCGCGCGGGCGACCAGAATTTACGCCTTTGCGCATGCTCGAGCGTTTGGCCTCAAAGCAGCGTCGCTCAAATAAACAATTTATTTTAAACCATCGTTTCAGAATCCCATATGTCTTCTATATCAATGACTGGCTGTTCTGTTGGCGTGGAAGGGATCTCATTTCCAGCTACATCATTTGACGAGTTTGACAGATCCTCTGAATCATTAGAGCTTTCGTAACCATCGTTTTCTTCATCTATGGAAAGCGGGAGTTGTTCATTTTGTAGCGAAGTGTTGCCAGGGGTCAGCTGAATGGAAGAAAATAAAACAAAGAAATAAAATTTATTAGAAACAGAGTACTTGCATTCCTATAGCCACCTTCGCGCGGCCGTTCGCTTTTTCGCTTCGTCCCCACTATACGAGAGCCTGGAACAGGCTAGCATTCCTACTTCTGTCTGCCTTAATAGTGATCGACATCTTTTTTTCTCCTTAACATATCGATACAGAGCCAACCATGCAGACCATGAGAATTAAGCAACTGGTCACTAATTCATGGATCGAGAAACTGCCTTGGTAGATAATCAAATTTTCCTAGTTAGTATGATAAGAAATGTACGAATACCAGTAACGAGAATTTGTATAATGAGCGTTAAACGTTTGACGTCTTTGACTGGCGAGCCGCTCACATGTGGTTACC